TCTCTGTGTAATCGGGTGGGATGGGTTGAAGTCATGGGGGAGAGGCGGTCCCTTAGGGAACCTGGTCCCATGCCATGTAGGTCTTTAAAAGTGATAATCAACACCTTGAATTGGACCCGGAAGCAAACTGGTACCCAATGGAGCTTGCGGAGCAACAGTGTTACATGGGCCCCTCTTGGGGCTCCCAAAATAGCCTGCGCAGCAGCATTCTGGACCAGCTATAGCTTCCAGATACTCTTCAAGAGTAGCCCCATGTAGAGTGCATTGCAGTAGTCTATCTGGGAGATAACAAGGGCATGAGTGACTGAGGGGCATCCTGGTCCAGGAAAGGGCGTAACTGATGCACAACCCAAAGTTGTGCAAATGGCCACGACTGCCACCTGCTCTTTGAGCAGGAGCCGTGAGTCTGGGAGGACCCCCAGATTACGCACTGAGTCTGTCTGAGGCAGGGGGGCAGTGCTACCCCATCCAGCACCAAAGAGGACAAAGTCCCAGATACAGAGGAGCCATTAACCCACAGCCACTCTGTCTTACCAGGGTTCAGCTGAAGCCTGTTGTTCTCCATCCAGACCCTTAGAGCCTCCAGGCACCACAAAAGGGTGGTCACGGCATCACTTACCTCACCTGGGATGGAGCTGTATAATTGTGTATCATCAGCATATTGATGATACCTCATTCCATGATGACGGATGATCTCGCCCAGTGGTTTCATGTAGATGTTAAAAAGGAGTGGAGAGAGAACCGAACCATGTGGCACCCCACAAAAGAGGGGCTGGGGGTGGGACCTTTTGCCCCCTATCACCACCAATTGGGATCAGCTCTGGAGAAAGGAGGTGAGCTAGCACAAAACTGCCGCTCACCCCCAATTCCCTGAGCTGTCCCAACAGAATACCGAAAGCCGCTGAGATCAAGGAGAGCAAGGATGGTCCCACTTCCACCATCCCGCTCCCACCAGAGATCATCCATAAGTGCAACCAATGCCATTTCTGTACCATAACCTGGCCTGAAACCTGACTGAAAAGGGTCCAGATAATCCGTTTCCTCCAGAACTCTTTGGAGCTGTGAGGCCACCACTTTCTCAACCACCTTCCCCAAAAAGGGAAGGTGGAAGACTGGACAAAAATTGTCCAGTACAGTAGGATCCAGGGAGGGTTTCTTGAGGAACGGGTGCACCAATGTCTCCTTAAAGGTAACTGGAAACACTTCCTCCTGCAAGGATGTATTAATCATTGTCTGGATCCAACCACATGTCACCTCCTGAGCTGCTTTCACCAGTCAGGAGGGGCATGGGTCAAGATGGCAAGTGGTGGCCTTCACCGTCCCCAGGATCCTGTCCACTTCCTCAGGATCAACAGGATCAAACTGTTCCCAGATAACTGGGTAAGAACGGTGCCCCGGTACCTCCCCAGACCCTGCCCCACGCTCAGAGTCCAACTTGGAACGAATCCAAGTGACTTTATCCTGAAGATGCTCTGAAAGTTCCTTCGTGCAGCCCTGCAAATGAACCCCCACATCCCCCTTACCAAGGAGGGACCTAGTGATCCTGAACAGGGCTGCTGGGCGGCATTCTGCGGATGCAATAAGAGTGGAGAAGTAGTGACGCTTCGCCGTCCTTATCACCACAATGTAGGCCTTGATAGTGGCTCTAACTTGTGTTCGGTCAGATTCAGTCTTTGTCCTCCTCCAGCGGTGCTCTAGACATCTCTTAACCCTCTTCCTCCATAAACCATGGGGAGTATTGGGGCCGATGTGGCAAGAAGGCTGCATAGGCACGATCCTGTCCAAGGCCCCGGCTGCCTCTATTCCAGGCAGCAGCCAAGGCCTCCAGTGGACTGTGCAGCAAATCCTTGGGAATACCCCCCAGCTCCCTCTGAAACCCCAACGGGTCCATCAGGCGCCAGGGGGCGGACCAATCTCCTGGGTCTTGCCTCCCTGTGGAGGGGGCTGGCATAGGAGAATCCCAGGGTCACCAGGACATGATCTGAACATGACAAGGGGGAAAGCTGTAAATCTCCCCTCAGATCACATTGCCATTGCTCTGACAAGAAGACCAAATCCAGCATGTGGCCACTGTCTCGGGTCGGGTGTCGCACAACCTAAGACAGGCCCATGGCTGCCAGGAACTCCCAAGCCACCTCTGAGGTCCATCCCAGGGACAGCACGTTGGTCCCCCAGAACCATAAGTCTGGGGAACTCTACCGCCAGCCCCAAGATGGCATCCAGCAGCTCAGGCAGGGAGGTTGCCACGCAGCAGGGAGGCTGGTACAGTAGCAGAACTCCCAACTGTTCGCGGAAACCCAATCTAAAGAACAGTGTCCCACAGCCAGAAATGTGTGGAGCAATGCCCCTAAAGGCCACCAGAGATTCCCGGATGACAACAGCCACCCTTTCTCTCCTGCCCTGGCATCTTGGCTGGTGCCACACCATGAACCCAGCTGGGCACATTTCCGTGAGGGGCACCCCCCCCTCGGGTCCCAGCCAGGTCTCAGTAATGCAGGCCAGGTCTCCCCCCTCCACAGTGATCAAGTCACATATGAGGGGGGCCTTGTTGTTAACCGACCTGGCATTAAGCAGCAGCAGCCGAAGGCCAGAGCCCCTATGAATCTGCTGACCAGGGCCTGGGAATGAGCAAGGAGGGCCAGAACACACCACCAGTAACACTGGTAAATTTAGTTTCTAGATGTGATTTATATGCTTTAAATTATAGTCTTAACCTACATTATATAACTTGTGCTATACAATCTAAATTATCTATTTTGACAAACACTTGTATACTGCCCTGCTATCAAGAATCTTGACAGTTTACAAAACAAATAAAAAATCTCAACCCCCAGAGCAGAGCCCAACCAAAAAAACTGATCATCTCAGGAAGGCAGCATGTTATCACCATTAGTGCCAAAAACCTAACTCAATTTGCAAATTTGCCAAGACACTTAAGGACCTAAGGACCTAAGACTTTTTTTTAAAGCCAGAAATTTCAGGAAATATACTGTATTTTCACATCAAGACAATATTCATGGGTTGTGATTGCTGAAGTGAGGCTCTTCTTAAGAGCAACTGACAGGCTGATCAGGACCAGACAGTCTTAGATTAATGTTATGGATCCTTTTCAGTAAGAGCTGAGACAATGATTCTGGCACTGAAATCACACTGGTCACCCTTTGGAAGAGAGGCTCTAGCAGTTTGACCCTCTTGATCCTTCTTCATTTCCTGACTTTCTGATACCACTTGCAATATTACCCTTTTAGATCATGGCTGTGTGAGTTAGGTGTGGATGATACTGTAATGAAGAGTCATACTAAATGCTAGTTTCCAGAAGCTGATGCTAAGAGATTTCTTCATAAACTGTAGGGATTGGGTTTGAGATCCCACAAGGTTTCATCTTTTTACACTACGCTATTTAATATTTATATGAAATAGTTCAATGAAGTTATCCAGGGATTTGGAATGCCTTATCATCAATATACTTTGTTTCTCTTTTTCGTCTGATTAGGCAATGAGTTCATTTCTTCCTCTGCCCACCTGAGTGGTATCCAGTCTGCTGTGGAGGGAAGTACTTGTCCTAAAGGAGGCATTTTTGGTTTCCGTATTACCATTTGAGACTTCATGACTTGAGTGCCCTTTAGCTTAGGAGAGTATCCTTTTGTAACTCTCTATGGATAACTTTGCAACAGTAACCCCCCCCCGCCCCCGCATAGTATTATTGAAAACAATATGGCAACTGCAGCTGATGCAGAATTGGCATATTAAGATGCCAGGAACACATGATGCCAGTCCTTTCTTACCTCTGTTGGCTACTCATTAATTTCCAGGCACAATTAAAATGGCTAGTTGTTACTTATAATGTCCTCATAACCTGCAAATTCAGTAGCTAAAGGAAACTCTCTTACTCAGTCTCCCCAGTCCTAAATTTACAAGTATTCATGGAAGAAAAGTATTTTTTTAAGCAACAGACTCGCTCCCCAATGTGCTAAATGTTTCTTGGAAAAGGTTTGACAGAAGCCCATCTTAATATATTTTTGGTGCCAAGTTAAGATACTCCTTTTTACCCTGGCCTTTGGAACATCATGTTTACATTCTTTTATTAACAATATAATCAGTTGTGTTATTTTATTTACTTACATTATTTCTTTATTAGAGTTACAGTCCACCTTTCCTCTAAGAGCTCCAGGCAGCCCACATAGCTGCCTT